GTTGGATCGGCAACATCCACCCTCAATCTCCATCGCAGGAGCAAACCAATCACGAACGGTTCCGTTTAAATCTTGGAGTTCCACCTTCTCCTGGCTCGATCCAGAACCATCTCACCGTGCTGGAACTTCTCTACACGAATGATTTCCCAAACGCGGTGGAGAGCGTGTCCGCGGCGCTTGATATCCTCCCCGTGGCGCTAGAATTGCTTTTCGAAGACTGCGTCCGGTGGTGCGTGAGTTATCTCGAAGCCGTGCCGTGGACGGAGGAAGAAGAACACGGAGTGGTAAACCTAATTCCTTATCTCAGCGAAGAAGAATCGAAAGAGCTTGTAGCTAGGGTTTCACCCGTAGGAGAAAACGCATGTGAGGAAATGCTGCAAGGTTTAATTTCATCGGCGATTAACAATTACGGCAACACAGCGTTCGTGAAAGCATTCGTAGGGAAGATATTAAGGGATGTATCTTCAAGAGAAACGGCGAAGAGAGTTTTGGAGGAAGCGTTTAGGAAAAGCTTGAAAACAGTGAAGCAATCATTGGAGGATTATTCCAGTCCTGTTTTCAGAGGTGATCATAATGAAACGGAAGCTATTCAGAGGTTGAATCTTCACAAAGCTTCTACTATTGGGAAACAACTTCTATGGCTTGTGGAGAGGATGATTGAGCTTAGGGTAGCTGATGCAGCGGTGCGTGAATGGAGCGAACAAGAAGCTTTCACTGCTGATTTGAAGAGGGCGTTTGGCGATGATGCTTGGAGGAATATTGTGCCTGGTCTTCCTGCTGTTATTCTTCGTTGTACATCAAAGCTTGCTCATGCTGTTTGTGCCGGCACTATTTTGGCTTCTACTCAGGTACCCTTTAACTAGAGTAACCTTTCATTTTTTCCATGGTATGCTATTGTAGATAATGTATTATATATGAAGCACAAGTGCGAACACAAACACATGCAAGTCGACAATTGGAAATGAAAATGTACACGTCGATGCTAGATAATGAAAATGCACGCATCAACGCTAGAAAATGAAAATGTACACTGTCAACACTTGGAGAAAATGAAAATGATTGAATGTAACTACACGGGTTGGTATTTATCGTTTTAGTGTCAAATACCAGATACCATGGTTGTCAGATCTCAATCTAGATCTTAAAATTGAAGATTTTACGACCTCACTCACCGCCAACAATCCAGATCTTAAGTAGAATCGTGTACTATAGTAAGATCGATTTTGTGCGATCCCGGCCAGTTCTGGCCACAATTGGCCTTTTTCGGCCACCACCATTACAAGTTGAGAAGGATGACAAATGCAAATGCACAACAATTAGGATTCAGTGGTGGTGAATGCACGCCTTTTAAAATGATGAATTTTTAGATTTAGGATTTAGAGAATAAACATATCATTTCATTTGTAGGGTTGGTTTTAAATATCGGGCTTATGGAAAATCAAATAATGGGCCAAATATGTCCTTAATGTCTAAACATTTAAAAAGTGTTTAATGCGGAAAATGATAATAAGATACAAAAGCACAATCATACAAGTCTAAAGAATTTGAAAGAGGGTCATTTCCCTAAATATACCTCCCTACCAAAATAGTGTAAAAATATTTCAAATATATAGTATTATTTTTTGTTTCAGTAGTATCTTGCCTCTTGCGATTTTTGTTACAAATTTTCATTTTATGATCTTGCTACCCCTTCTCAATCTTACCAAATTAATTTGGTAGGATTTTCCGTTCTAAGTTACGATCTTATGTTTTACGATCTTGCCACTCTCTCCCGATCTTATACAAGTTCTCGATCTTGACAACCTTGGGTGTTACTATCGTACTAGTGAGTGTGTTTTTGCATGGAGAATGTGGATGTGGAATGCTAGTTCAAGAAACAATTTGATAAGCATCTTATCAAAGTTATATTTAAGTATCAATAAACTTATAAGCAATTTTATGTAGGCTAAGAATATATATTTCATTGGAGAAGTTCTTATATTATGGTGTATGTTTGAAGCTAATTGCAACTAAGTCTTGAAAGCTTTAATAAGGGTTTTGGTTTGAACCTCTGACTCCTAATTTCCATGTAGTAGAGGTTCATTAGTTTGAATTGTTTGGAAATAGTTATTTGTTCACTTCTTGGTCTTTCTTGGTTTGAAACTTCAAAAGTTACATTGATCTGACTGATGCAATTGGTTACGTGTTTAGAAAATTGATTTTGAATAATATTGCAAAATTTGCTTGGACCAAATATAATAAATTTTTTCTCATAATGAAGTTGACCGCCGGCATACATACATTTAAAGTCTTTCATCATTTTTTCCCAATATGCCAGACAAGCTGAGGAGACCATTGATGCTTCATGATATTTGAATATGATTATTTGAGGCCTTATTATACAACATGCCTTTGACTCAAAACAATTTAATCTTATATATTTTTTTGGGAAATGCTCTTTGTTAAGACAGAATGCAACGCAAAAATATACTTAAGTTTTGTGATTGGTTATTTTTCATCCTATACTCCCCATGTTTTATGTCAAATTTGGATCGGACTATTTGACCCAACCTCTAATAAAGAAACAAGTCAGCATTCATATGTTTTGCCATGTATTTGCTTCGTAATAATTAGCATCACTGAATTTTTATTATGAACTTTTTGCTTGACCATATTACTTAAATAGAAAATTAGTGCAAAATAGACAAATAATGATTGTTTTATCTGGTGCCTTCAGAAAATACCAGAGCTCCTATAATCTGTTTTAACTTTTGATATCTCGGAAGCTGGAGAAAAACTATTAAATTAATAATACTTTGAATGCAAAGCGTATCTTACCTAGTTTTGATGTTTCCCCTTTTCATTTGATATTGATTTGTTACCATGTTAATTGCAAGCCATTTGACAATTTCTTGTAAAATTTCCTATGACGGCTATTTCTAAATTGACACTATTTTATCGAGCCATATATCTTATTTTATTTCTTTCATTGTATTCACTTGCATATTCATCAGCTCTATAATACCAAGTATTCGTGTTTTGACAATGTTGAATTGAAGTGCTTTGACGAACTTTGCTTTACTCAATTCAGGTGAGAAGGAAACTCGTAGAAGATTGGCTTCCTGTTTTGGTTGTATGCAAAGACAATGTTTCACCCGCCAGCAACAAATCGCTATATCTAGAACTGGAAGAAACTTTTTTGCAAATCATCTCCACATTGCCCATGTCAGATGCTCAAGAATTGTTGCAGCAGTGCCTCAGCTTTTCTACCCGAAATGTTGAAGATTGTCCTCACTTGGTAACAGCGTTCAATACCTGGTTCCGCCGTGCAGGCCATCCCTTCAGACTAGATTCTCCGTTCGATCCATCAGATACCTGATCTGCTGGAACTTTGTTGGCTGGCTTGTCAAATATTGTGCAGTTTGTATATACTAACTCTGTTTAGAAAGTTGAACTTTAACATTGTACATATAACCATTTTCCCTGTCTTCTAAGACAAACATCAACCTAAATGCTTAGACCTTGTCTTGTGGTTGTTGGCATGGCTGGTAAGTTCCTTGAAATGCAAGATTTTAGTTGCATGTATTTCTCAGTTGAAATGATGCTTTGCAATTTTGGGATAAAGTGGGAAAAAATTACTAGCTTTGGATCTCTTGTGGATAAATCCATTTCTCCACTTAACCTCTCACATTTTATAAATAGTTCATTCCACCCAAAAAGTTTCAAATTTACAAAGTTAATAATAAAGATCATTTTTTATGATTACGTTTTCTTATATTCACTGTTCAATTAATTTCCTAGTATGAATGAAGGAAAGTGACCGAATTCGGGGATAAGATCCTTGTCTTAAGTGCATTGTTTTGTAACTTTGCTATCTTTAGCGCATTGTTGATAGGAGTCGTACAGCTGAGGTTGACCAATGAACAATTGATCCATCATGGATCAAGTGAGCCTAAAGTATGGAAAGTTTATTTTAGGAAGAGTAAAAGAGAGAATTATGGATAAATCTTGGGATGACTGCGGGGACAGCATCAAACTATAACCATTTATATTTAATGAGTTATTATGGATTTATATTTAATGTGTTACTATGGATAACTCTTGAGATGATTGTGGGAGAGCAATAGACTGTAACTGTTTTTCTTTATAAGGAGTGGAAAAGGGGGATTGAGACGCCATCTTTGTTTTTCTTTATAAGGAGTGGAAAAGGGGGATTGAGACGCCATCTTTGTGGGCTGGGGGAATTACTTCAACTCTCGGTAAAGATGTCACTTCCTGCATTACAACAACCTTCTCAGGCCGAGGACCCTAATGGAGTGGAGCGACATTCGTCCTCTCAATGGAGGATTTTTTTCCTCATCTTTCACAGGGTAGCTTGGAAGTCTTATTCTACACTGAAAAGAATCGTCACCGATGGTGAGATAAGAAAGAGAAAGTACAGTCCGATTGCAAAGAAGCGAAGGACATGGGCTATGTATCTGAGAAATTAGAATGAATATGGAGCATTAGCTTTTTATAGGAGCCTTGAGCATTAGCTTTTTATAGGAGCCTAACTCTGATAAGGAAATTAGGGATTCATTTTTCCCTTTCTTGTAATCACCTTTTAATTATAATCAATAAAAGCTTTCCCCCCCTCTCTCTCTCTCATATTATGTTTTTTCTACTCTCAATTTTATTGTTTTCTGTTATTGGTTCCTATCAAATTGGTCTGACCTATCAGATTCGTTGACAGGAGCAATGAATGCCACTTAAGAAGAAACAAGTATGAATATGGAACATTAGCTTCTTATAGGAGCCTTGGAGCATTAACTTCTTATAGGAGCCTAGCTCTGATAAGGAAATTAGGGATTCATTCTTCCATTTCTTGTAATCACCCTTTAATTATAATCAATAAAAGCTTCCCCCCCCCCTCTCTCTCTCTCTCTCATATTGTGTTTTTTCTACTCTCAATTTTATTGTTTTCTGTTATTGGTTCCTATCAAACTAGTCTGACCTACCGAATTCGTTGACAGGAGCAATGAATGCCACCTAAGAAGAAACAAGTATCAACCTCGTACAGTGAAACTCAATTTTTGATAATGGAGGCTACAATCACAGCATTGGAAAATGAGTTATCAGAGGTGAAATCTGCACTTGCTGATGCGCAAAGTACAACAAAACAGAATCAAGACTATCTTGTTTCAATGCTTGAGAAATGCATAGGTAAGTCAATAGATCTAGAAGATGAAAACGTGAACAATGAGGGTTTGCCACTAGAAGATGAAAGCGTGATTAATGAGGGCTTGCCACAGTAAAACTCCAGAGTTTAAATCCACCATAAACAAACTGCACAGCGAAGCTTTGACAGAGTTTCGTCAATCTGTTAAAAAGGTTGAGCTGCCCATGTTTGATGGAGAGGAGGATCCTGCTGGCTGGATTTCTCAGGCAAAGGTGTATTTTCGGGTACAAGAGACGATTCAAAAGGTCAAGTTTAGTCTCGCACAATTGTGTATGGAGGAACCGACGATCCACTTTTTCAACTCTCTACTTGATGAAGAGGAACCACTCATGTGGGATAAGTTGAAAAGTGCGCTGTTAGAGCGTTACATCGGTCACAGTGATGGAGATGTCTATGAGCAACTTATAGAACTCCGACAACGGGGCACAACGAATGAGTATATATGTGAGTTTGAATACATCACTACTCAAATATCCAAACTCCTAGAGAAATGATTTATGGGGTATTTTTTGCATGGCCTGAAGGTTGAGATCAAAGGTAAAGTGTGTAGTATGGTAGCATTAGGAGGATTGGGTAGAGCGAAGTTGTTTTAGGTGACTCGTGCAGTAGAGAAGGAGGTGAGAGGTGAAAACTGGTTAGGTATTTCACGGAGCTCCACATCTGGTGGATCAACGTTTAAACCTGAGGCTAATGGGTCGGGTCGCAACACTAGATCAATTGGGTGTTTGTGAAAGGCAATAAATATAATGGGTCAGGTAATGGATCTAAGAGTGGGTCGTTTGGGCCCAAGAAGAGAAAACATCCCAAGGCAAAAAAAAGAAGTTTGGGCCACGTGACAGGGGTTTCACTCATCTCTCATATCAAGAGCTTATGGATAGGAAACAAAAAGGCATGTGTTTCAAATGTGGATGTCCGTTTCATCCTATGCATCAATGCTTAGATAAACAACATAGAGTTTTTATGGTTGAAGAAGAAAGAGAAGATGTAGAGGTGATAACGCGAAATTATATTGGATATTTGACTTGACTTACATGAATTTTATCTGCTTTTATTACTGTTTTATTTGATTCATCTTCGATTACGCATTTGTTTTCTTATGTTTTGTAGGTTACCATAAATATGGAATAAAATAATAAAAGGAGAAGTAAATGAAAGAAATGGAAGAAAAAGACCAAAGAAAAAAAATAAGAAGAAAGAAAGAGAAATGAAAGAAAAAAGGGGTGGGGGCCACCACACACCAAGTGGCACTTGCCACTTGCGTGTGGCGTCTGCCACCTTACCCATACAAGGGAGTGTGGCGCTTGCCACCTCTAAGGAAGGAGAGGGAGTGGCGAGTGTCACTCCTAAGGAATAAGAGGATGACAACTGTCACTCCTAAAAGAACGGGAAGTGGCGTCTGCCACTTCCTCCCCAGATTTTCTCCACTTTCCCCTATTTTTTCTCAACCTCCTGACTACATTTCCTCCTATTTTCACTCCTCATTTCAGGCTTGAATTGGTGTAACAATTTCCCACTAGTAAATATAAAAGAGAAGGCAGTTTTAGAAAAAGGGGGCACATAGTATTTTTCTGTTTTTATTTTAGTTTTTCAGCATTCTGTTTTAGTTTTCTTTTACATTTTTTAGTGATTTCTTGTAAGGCAATTGTTTTTCACACCGATAAACAATTGCCATTTAGTTTTAGGATTGATTCAAAAAGATTGTAATATTGTACCGAACTGCAAGCCGACCTTCATAATCAAATCCAAGTTCCGTTCTTCAAATCGATAGGTTCCTTTTATTTGTTTTTATTTTTATTGTTATATTTATATGCATCCCTTCTATTTTCTGCTTAGTATTAAGAATAGATTTAGTATTAGCATGAAAGCCATGTCTGACTAAACCTCTTAGTATCGGTATGTAATTACGATCAATCAGAGGAGGGTTAAGTAAATCGTGGCGTAAATTTAATGGAATCAATTCTTCTGGTCTCTGTTTCTTTTAATAAATTAATAACTTTTGTTACGAGAGTAAGAAAGTAACGAAGTTTAAGATCAATAAAGCGAGAGTTTGAGGTCTTAACCGGATAGCTGAAACTGAACATTAGGCTTAAATGCAGCGAGAACGCTTTAAGGTTAATTATGATTTATTTATTTTCAAAAAGTGTTTTTAAATGCAAAATGAGAGAGCGAGAGCCGCATTCTGATTTGAGAGTATAGTCTAAGTCAAGACCATGAGAGTGTGAGATAAGGCCTTTTAAATGAGTATTTTCTACAGAATAACAATTCTTTTTTTTAAACTAAACGCCCACGAATTACCGAACTCCCGATGATTGACAGGATTATATACCAATATTTCGCATTATCTTAATTTAATTTGATTTTAATTATGCACTTATTTTCTTACTCGCATCCCAAAATCTAGAAATCCATTAGCCTTAGCTTTACATAGTAGCATTTAATAGCGGTAGATCGACTCTTGGTCCTTTGGGTTCGATAATCTTTTAAAACTATACGATCAGACTGTGCACTTGTAGTCACGAAACATTTAGACATACTAAATAGCGATCAAGAGGGGAACCTACTGGCAATAGAGGTAAATGAGATAGAAGATGAGGTTGATGGAGAAATGAGTGTGCTGTGTTTGAAAAACCTCATAACAGATCCTAGAGACAAGCCTCAAATAATAAAAGTTCAAGGTAAAATCCAAAGGGTACTAGTGTTAATCTTGGTAGACAGTGGAGCCACCCAAAATTTTGTTTCCCTAAAATTAACACATAAAATGGGTTAGGCAGTAGAGGATACTCCAAACATGACTGTTAAAATGGGGGATGGATTTCAAACAATAAAACAAGGGAAGTGTAAGGAGGTAGATATAGAAGTTGGTGATTTCAAAGTCTCCATGGAGGCATTCTTGTATGAATTAGGAGATTTGGACGTGGTGTTGGGAATATAGTGACTCAAAACTTTAGGCGATACTATCGTAAATTGGACTAAGCAAACGATGAGTTTTTGGAGCAGAAGAAAATGGGTTATTTTGCAAAGTTTGGGAGGACATCCGAAGCACTTGGTGGCTTTATAATGCATTTTGAGCAGGTCTAAAGGTTACGCAGGCAACACGTTATGGTCTTTAGAGAAACAGGGACAAACAGAGACCAAGAAAGGGCATATCACTGAATCACAATAGAAGGAGTTGAGCAGAATATTGAAAAAATATGAAGGAGTGTTTTAAGAACTTTTAGGTCTTCCTCTGAAAAGGGGAAAAGAGCATGCAGTCAATCTGTATGAGGGTCAAAACCCTGTTAATGTGTGACCGTACCGATACCCACACCACCACAAGAATGAAATCGAAAAATAAGTGAAAGAAATGCTCACAATGGGAATCATTCAACATAGCACCAACTCTTAGAGAATGCGTGTGGACTACCGTGCTCTCAATAAGGTAACACTTCCTAACAAATTTTCAATTCTGGTCATTGAAGAGTTACTAGATAAATTACATGTGCCTAGATATTTCTCCAAATTAGATTTAAAATCAGGATACCACCAAGTTCTTGCCAAGCAAGACGATATTCATAAAACTGCTTTTCGGACTCACGAAGGGCATTGTGAATTTCTAGTCATGCCATTCAACCTTATGAATGCGTCGTCTACGTTTCAAAGTTTGATGAACGAAGTGTTTCGGTTTATGCTTAGAAAATTTGTGTTAGTATTTTTTGACGACATCCTTGTGTATAACAAGGATTGAGACTCTCATATGGTACAAGTAGAGACAGTGCTGCAAGTGCTACATAAGAACTTTTTGGTGGCAAATAAGAAAAAATGTCAGTTCGCTCAAATGACTGTAGAGTATTTGGGACATTTAATTTTTGAAAAAGGTGTTGCTGTCGACCCAAATAAAGTGATAAGTGTGACTAAATGGCCAACTTCGAGGGAGTGGGGGGATTTTTGGGTCTTACCGGATACTATCATCCAAGACTATGGCTAGATAACAAAGCCACTAACTGAGTTAATCAAGAAAGATGTGTTCCAATGGGGTCCCACAACACAAAAAGCTTTTGAGATTCTGAAGGAAAAGCTCACTAAAACCCAAGTTTTAGCCCTCCCGAATTTTAACAAAGAATTTTTGATTGAGTGTGATGCATCTGGTGGTGGGGTTGGCGCCATACTTATGAAAGGGGAGCAACCAATTTCTTATTTTAGCAAAGCTTTGGGAGTGATAAATATGGAAAAATCAGCCTATGAAAAAGAACTCATGGCGGTCGCGTTAGCCATCCAACATTGGAGGCCGTATTTTCTTGGGAGACGTTTTGTGGTATCAACATATCATAAAAGCCTCAAACAATTGCTACAACAAAATATTGTAACTGTGGAACATTAAAACTGGGATGCAAAGTTACTTGGCTATGATTTTTAAATTGTTTACAAGCCGAGGAGATTAAACCTAGGCGTTGATGCCTTATGCAGAATGAATAAAGGCGTTGAGCTAAATAGTGTAGTTTCTTACCCTATATGGAGTGACAAACAACATTTGTTAGAGGAGGTACACCAAGATCAGCATCTAAGGAAGATTATTGAAGCACTTCAAGAGGATCCAACTTCTCGATCTGGTTTTGTGTACAAACAAAGAGTTTTATTCTATGAAAATAGATTGATCATCTATAACAGATCAACATTTATTCTACCTTGTTACAAGAATATCATTCTAATTCTCAAGGCGGGCATTCCGGATTCCTCTGGACGTATCACAGAGTTGCAACCAACGTGTGCTGGGTAGGCATGAAAAATACCATTCATGAATTTGTTCGGAGTTGCAATGTTTGTCAGCGACAAAAATATGTAGCTTTTCTTGTAATTACCCTCTAATTATAATTAATAAAAGCTCTCTCCCTCATATTGTGTTTTTTATACTCTCAATTTTATTGTTTTCTGTTACTGGTTCCTATCAATTGTTTTGTAACTTTGGTACCTTTAGTGCATTGTTAAAGTAAGAAGCAGCTTAGTAAACAGTTCATGTCAACTGGTATGTGGGGAAAAAGCAGGGAAACATGGCTTCTGATGTTTGTTTGATTAGAGAGTAGGGTAAGCCAAAATGACGAA